ATCTATCTATCTATCTATCTATCTATCTATCTATCTATCTATCTATCCATCCATCCATCCATCTATCTATCTACATATTAAGGATGAAACGAACACTGACGTTTTCATCAGTACCTTTCTTACACCCTGGGCTACAGATTCCTCCACCCAGACTTCTACCACTTTGTGCTTAGAGTAGGTCTTGGAGCATAGAGAAATTGTCTCAGTGTTTCTGTCACCTCTCCAGCTTTCATAAGTCTCTATCTGTGTCCTTTTCCAAAGCAGTAGGCTGCTTTAGTCTACTGCTAGAATCATTGTAGGTGTGGTAGCTCCTGATCCTCCACTCCTAGTGCACCCTTCTTATCTGTGAGGGGTCCTTTTTAACCCTGGCCTTTCTCTTTCTCTGTTTTGCAACGAAGCTCTGCCTTGTGTCTGTGGCAGGTGTGTGAGAGATACAAACCCGCTCAGGTGTCAGCTCACCTCTTTGGGTTGGCATGGGGTCTTAGGCTAGAGAGAGGTTTTTTTCTTCCAACCTGTCCACAAGGCAGAGAACGTTTTTGACTATTCTAAACCATATGAGTGTTGCATGACATTCTAAATGAGAAAGTTTCTGGCACTGTTTGTGGTTTAGGGCCTTTACGTCACACAGGATGAGGGGTTAGTTGATGTTGCAGTATTATGCGTGTTCTTACATATTTAGCCAGCAAAGAATGCAGATTCCTGGGCTTCCCAAAGCTTGGTGGAACCTTGGTGGAGGCACATGGGAAACGGCACACAATGAAAATGAAGTCCTTCTTTATTTTGTACTCTGGGCTGCTCCAGATTGGTGTGCTTGCTTATTATAGTCTACATCCTATGTACCTAACCTCTGTGTTTATCTGGATTATAGCACACATATGGAAAGTTTAAAAGCTAACATCCACACATAACAGAAACCATAACATATTTGTCTTTTTGGGTATGGGTTCCCTCATTCATGATGAGTTTTTTTCTAGTTCCAGCCATGTACCTGCAAATTTTATGATTTTATTTTTCTTAACTGATGAATAATATTCCATTGCATAAATAAACCACATTTTCCTTATTTATTAGTCAGTTGATGGGTATCTAGGCTGTTTCTAACTTCTGGTCAGTATGAACAGAGCAGCAAGGAGCATAGATAAAGTCTTTGTTGTGTGATGTAGAATCCTTTGTTATATACCCAAGATGGTAGAGCTGGATCATAAGATAGATTAATTTCCAGCTTCCTGATAAGCCACCACATAGATTTCCATAGTGGCCATTCTCCCCTTTGAACAGAAATGAATAAATATTCCCCTTTCCCTGCATCCTCAGCAGCATGTGCTGTCATTTATTTCATTGATCTTGACATTCTGACTGAGGTGAAAATGAAATATCAAAGTAGTTTTAGTTTGCATTTTCCTGATGGCCAAAGATGTTGCACATTCCTTTAAGTGTTTCTCCACCCATTGTGTTTCCTCTCTTGGGAACTCTCTTATTAGTTTTGTACTTAATTTTTAAAGTTAAGTGATTTTTTTTTAAATCAGGTTTTTAGTTTGTTTTTATTATTTTTTTGGTTCTCTATACAGTCTAGATCCCAATCCTTTATCAGACAATTGATGAAGATCATTTTCCATTTTTTAGGTTAACGCTTTGCCAGATGACTATGCCTTTGCTGTAAAAGAGGAAGGGAAAATAGAATATATTGCTATGGAGATGTAAAGGGGAAACTCGAACAGGATGGTTAAATAGGGAGGGAGATGGGAGAGGAGGGAACATGGAGAGGGACAACTAACAGTAACGGCCAATTGAAACAACAAATGGAAATGTACTAGTGTAGAAGCTTCCTTATTTTTATAATAAAATATGTGAAAGGAGTCTAAATGAAGGGACCAAATAATAGGGTGACAGTGCTCCAACTAGACATCTTATGCCACCATGTAAAACTAACAATGCTAGGAATGGGTTAATATTGTTAAGTCATTGGCCAAAAGGGTCCCATGAATGCCCCTAAAGTCACAGGCTATTGCCAAGGCTCTTGATTTCTCTTTACAACCTAATAGTAAGGCACTATTGCTGAAGACAGCATTTGTTTATGTTATCAAACATGGAGAAGTCAAGCTGGTACCTAACAAGAAGCTTCATGGGTATTTACCAGCATTCATGGTTCTGGAAGGTACTTAGCACACTACCAAGGGGGAAAGTAGTCATTGATATCACTCATCTGCAAACCATGCAACCTCAACAGCGACTTGCCTGCAGGATAATACCGGTGCAGCAGTGACACAAGCGTTATGGAGTAACATTAAAGCTGACTCCATGCGGTAGAACCCATACCTGACTTTGTCAGTGTTCTTTTGCTGTGAAGAGACACCATGTCCATGCTAACATGGTGGGAAGCATGGTGGCATGCAGGCAGGCACGGTGTTAGAGAAGAAGCTGAGCGTTTACAACTGGATCTGCCGGCAGCAGAAAGAGAGAGCCACAGGGCCTGGCTGGGACTTTTGAAACTCCAAAGCCCACCCCCAGTGATATACATCCTCTAATAAGGCCACACCTACTCCAACAGGTCACACCTCCTAATCCCAATCATTCAAGTATATGAGCCTATGGGGGCCATTTAAACCATCATGTTGACAGTGCTAAAGTGGTCAAGAACTTGGGTCTAGATAGGTAACAAGCCTACAGGAAAACCCCCTGCTATTATTCTACTAAAAGATCACAGTAATAAAATGGCTCCCAATGACCTACAAACTGCTATGCCCATATAGATCAGTGCCTTGCTCAGCCCACATTAGAGCAACTTCTTGTAGTAGAGGGTAATTAACACAGAGATTCACACTTGACAGTGACGGAAAGTGAGAATCTTCGGAGAACTCAGGCCTAAATAGGGTGTCTTCATCAGTGCCCTCCCCTCAAGGCTTAGGGATCTATGTGGAAGAGAAAGGTCCAAAGAGCCAGAAGTGGTGGATGATTCTAAGGAAACTGTGTCTTCCAGACACAACAGGATTGATGCACATATGAACTCGCAGAGACTGTGGTAGCTTATACAGGACCTACACAACTTCAAGTCAGATGG